GTAGCATAGGGTGCTTACTAATCAAAGGCAGCGATTGCGATGGATTCTGGAGGGATTTGGACATGGGAGGTATGCCAATGGCGAAAAAAGCAGACCAGTCTGTCAAGAATGCGCAAAGTAGTACCCAGGGTCAACCCTCCGTTGCGCAAAGAACAAAGAGGGGTCGTATCTAGAGAAACGGAGCTGCAATACGGCTTGAAAAGTGCAGTGTCCTGCAGTGCACATTCGCGCTCTAATGTTCTCAGGAGCTCTGCACCGTGCAACTGTCGGAGAGACAGACACAGACAAGAGCTCCATGGGAGCATTAGAGCATGCAGAGCATTATAAGATTCACTATCAGCCATTGTTATCCTTGACACCCGGACGGCGCTTTCGCTCTACAGCATAGGTCAAGATTACAATAGCCAAAAACTTTGTTATAGCGTAGTGCAAAAACATGGTCTGTCTTCGATGATGGAACATTCCTGAAATCCCAAGGAGACCAAAGTAAAGAGCAGTTCATGGGGGAATGGAGAATACCATATGACAGTACAGTGCAATTCAGTCACGATGCTAACACCTTCTTCGGGAAAATGGAGGACTTTCAAATGCGAGTGCGACTTCTGTCCATAGACAGGTGCACGGCGCATACCCGAGCAGGCGTTTTCATACCAGAGCGCCTTATCTGTCAGTGACCGTGAGCAGACGAACATCCTTAAGAGAATTTCGATGCTTTCCATTGAATTTCGATGCGACTCTAAGCGGAACAAAGTGTAGCGAACTTGGTGAATTGACTTCTAGATAGCGCTTAGTAAAATCGAGGTAATAGAGAGAGTCTCAGGAAATCACACCTATCAGAAAGTACTCTTCAAGTAGATTCCTACGGTCCTTACCGCTTCTCATCACATCAACTTCTGAGGAAGTTATGGGTCTTTGAAGACTACATAGTCGCGGTCCATGAAAATGGCTTGAAAAAATCAAGGTGACAAAAACGGAACAACGGGATTATTTTTTGAGAGGGGTCGTTAGAAAAAAGTGAAGAACTACTTGTTCGAAA